GGACTGACCTGGGCTTGCGAGAGGTTCCGTAACTTTCTGATTGGGAAACACTTCCAGCTGGAAACGGATCACAAGCCTCTCTTGAGTCTCCTGGGGTCTCAAGCGCTGGATGCTCTACCGCCTCGGATCCAACGCTTCAGAATGCGTCTGATGCGCTATTCATACTCTATATCTCATGTGGCAGGGAAGTGTCTGTGGACAGCAGATACGCTGTCACGAGCGCCAGTCAAGAGGGAGGAAACACCGGCTGACAAAGAGGACACTAATATCTACATAGACACAGTAATGGAGAACCTAGCTGCAAGCACTGCTTATCTGGAGGAGTTGAGAGACCAGCTGCAGAGGGACAGTGTGGGCATACGTGTGATGCAGTTGTGTACAGAAGGCTGGCCAACACATGGCATCCATGACCCTGCACTCAAGCCTTTTTCTCACAGTCCAGGATGGTCTCCTGTTGAAGGGGCAAAGACTGGTTATGCCATCAGTAATGAGAAATGATGTTCTTGCCAAGCTGCACGAAGGTCATCAGGGCATGGTCAAGTGTAGACAGCGGGCACAACAGTCGGTATGGTGGCCAGGGCTGAGCCAGCAGCTGAACGAACTGGTTCTCCACTGCCGAGCATGCTGCCAGGAGAGACAGAACCACAGGTAGCCGCTGCTGCAAACACCATACCCGGGGCAACCATGGCAGAAATGTGGAGCGGATTTGTTTATGTTAGGGAGCAAGACCTACCTGCTAGTGGTGGATTACGCATCAAGGTGTGTGGAGGTCTCACTGCTTACTCCCACAAGGGCTAATGACGTGATTGATCACCTGAAGTCCATTTTTGCACGTCATGGGATCTGCAAGACCCTAGTCACAGATAATGGGCCACAGTTGGCCTTTGCCAAGTTTGCAGAGTCTTATGGGTTCCACCATGTGACTAGCAGCCCAAAATACCCCCAGGGAAATGCTGAAGCTGAACGTGCAGTACAGATGGTGAAGGGGCTCTTGAAGAAGTCAGAGGATCCCTACCTCGCTCTGCTTGCGTACAGGGCTACCCCACTACAAAATGGGTACAATCCAGCTCAGCTGCTCATGGGGAGGAGGCTTCGTACCACCGTGCCTATATTTCCTGCACTACTAGATCCTGCTCTTCCTGATGGAGCCGCGGTAATGCTGGAGGAAAGTGAGAGGAAGAAGAAGGATGCGCAACGCTACAATCTGCGACATCGTGCACAGAATCTCGGCAGACTCACTCCCGGGCAGGATATGTGGATCACAGACCAAAGAGCGGCTGGAGCTGTCATTGGAAGCTACACTACACCCCGCTCATACGTGGTGGAGGGTCCCCACGGGATCATCCGGTGAAACCGTCACCATCTCATTGCTATGCAGCCCTCACCAGAGCAGTGGTGGAGCAGCTGAGCATATCCTGGGAGGAGTTCCAGAACGACCTTCAACAGAACATCCTGCAGCAGCATTGCCGCAGCAGAACGTTTTAGAACCACCATCTACTCCTACTCTCAGAACCAGGTCGGGGAGCGCTATAGTAAGACCGACCCGGTTAGACTTATAATTTTGTTCACAGTTTCCAGGGCCTGAGAGGCATTTAAAAAAAACTAAAAAAAACAAACATGTGTTCAATATTGTGAATGAGCCATTTCATGTTTTGCACTGTTTGGATGTAAACATTCAAGCATTAGTCTCTAGGGTGAGGACAGACAGCACAGGGCTGGTATTGTATTTGTAATTTATTGTTTCAAGCTAAGGATAAAATGCTGTGTGTCTGTTGTGTGGGTCGGAGTGGTTCAGGATTCAGAGGAAGCAGACCTTCCAGCCACAGGGGCAGAATAACCCCCTAAGGTCTTGCTGAATCAATGGTAGTCTACCCATTGATTCTTAAAAGGGGAGATGTGGTGTAATTGGTTATTCAGTTGGAGACTACGGGGTCGGTGAGCGATAACATCAGGGCAACAAGGTAGACGAGAGTAGCGGGGAATCAGCAGAGAGTGAATGAGAGACGCGGAAAAAATAATAAAGACCCGCTACAATAACAGTCGGACTCACAAAGTGGTTTTTAATAACACGACACTTGGCACCCCTACTTCCAGTGTTTAATGGTCGTATGTCATAACGACTTTTATGGGACGAATAACTGCAAACCAAACCTGCGAATGAAAGTGTCAATTGTAAAGTGTACTCTTAAATCGAGCATTAAAGCCTGATTTTTAAAAAATACAAATAACCCTAGGGAAGTTACCACTTGTTAAGTTCGCAAATATTAGCCAATGAAAACGACTACTGGAATTGTCAAGTACACTGGGTACAACCCTGAATCAGTTTTGTTCCCGAAGGTACAAACAACGTTAATGTACCCCCAATGGTACAAAAAGTTCCTCAGAGTCCATTAATGTACCTACAGCTATTGACAAGTAATTGTGCCTTCAAAGGTACAAATTGATGATTTCTTTACTTTTCTGAATATACACACCCACTAGACATAAAACCTGGACTACATGTGCACCATTTGGCACCCACCACTTATGAGGTTTGTCACTCACCTTGTGCACAGACCATAAGCACACGTGGATATGTGGTTTATGAACTGGCATTTAGACTATGCTGTTTGTATTGTTTGGGTCGCCTACTCAGGCTTGTCTCACTCATTCAAATTCAAAAAACTTTATTTGTCCCCGAGGGGCAATTTAAAAGGCATAGAGGAGCAGCGCACACACATAACAGTTGTAACATTTGACACAACAGATGACACACAATAGACACACAATGAACTATGAACAATAATAAATAATAAATAAATGACTTTAAATACAGAGGCAATAAGGTGTATGATGTTGAAAGTGAAATAATGAGAAGTGAGAGAGACTCAGATCTGAGGAGGTCTGGATTGTAGGAGGAGGGGGAGGTGGGAGTGTGAGAGGTGATAATGGCGGATTTGGGGGGTGTCAGTAGTTCAAAAGAAGGACAGCTTTAGGAACAAAGGTGGCCCTCCTCCTCTGTGTCCTGCAACCGGGACATCGGAGCCGACGTTTGGAGGGGAGCCACTCAAAGGCAGAGTTCAGCGGGTGTGAGGGGTCTTTAATGATTTTGAGTGCTAGCCTGTGTGTCTGCTGGTCGCAGATGTGTGATATGGATCTCAAGGGCAGACCAATAATCTTACAGCACATGCTGACAGTGCTCTGTCAGAGAGAATATTGTTTACCAGTACCCTCTGTGATCTGTTGGTCAGAAAGTCCAATATCCACAAGATTAACTGGTTGTCCAGATGAAAGTTGGAGGAGAGTTTAGTAGCCAGGATGTGTGGTTGCTGAGTGTTGAAAGCTGAGGAGAAGTCGGCTAACTGATGAGTTAGGCTGCTCCAGATGTTTATGCATGGTGTCTATAATGAATGATTTTGCGTCGTCAACCCCTCTGTTTGTTCGATATGCAAATTGAAGCGGGTCCATATGGGAGTTAGTGGTTCTGATGATGTGGTGTTTTATGACCCTCTCCATGGCTTTCATCACTAGAGAGGTGAGAGCCACGGGCCGAAGATCATTCAGAACTTTGGTTATACTTTTTTTGGGATTGGGGATAACTGTAGAATGTGTCCAGAGGCAGGGTACTATGCCGCTGTCCAAAGAGCTCTGGAACAAGGTCTGGAATACGCCACCTAGTTGCTGAGCACAGTGCCGCAGGACTCGGCTGCAGATGTGGTCTGGGCCGGGTGCGCTTCTCTCTCTAGTCCTCATTGTCATTGTTGGCTCCTAAACCTCAGCCCCTAAGTTTATTGTCCTTTTTATTTCCATGCTGATAGATTCCTGTCAGCATATCAGGTCTGCAAGGAGAGAAACATGGGTGCTTAATAAATATTATGGCTTCAGTTTGAATATGAGTTTAGCAACTGAGAAATCACAGGATAGTCTGCTTATTGATGGTGTGGGGGAAGGAGGTAGTTGCTTTATGGGGGTGTACTGACTGATCGTGTAAATGCTCATAACCTTGAAATGATGATATCACCATATTTATTGTTGCTACTGGTTACGATCAGTACTGGTTATCAGGGTTGTGCACCATTCAGAAATTAATTGAGAATGGGCCTAAAATTCCAGAAAAGTTCTTGAATTTGAAAAAAAAGTAACATAGAAAAAATTTCAAGTTGAATTTTAATTTAACGAAGTAAGATCAAAATGGAATTTGAATATAAATAATTCTGTATACTTAGTGTAGGTGCACCTTTTAATAATACAGCTTAATATTTCAATATTCATTTCACATACCATACACAGCATATACTGTATTATTATTATAAAAATGTAATTCAGAATTAAATAAAGCAAAATTTGAAGTGTCATGTATAGAATATATTATTTAACTGTACCATGGTGGAAAAACATTTCATTTAGAGTCAAACAATCTGAAAGCAAACTGACATACAAGATGAAAAATTCACACAGCAAACCTATGCTGTCAATCTTTACCCATTTTGGTGAACAATCTCCCAGAGCCATACCTGAGAATCACGGAGCTGTATGCAAGCACTGTAATACAGCAGTCTGTGGTGCCTTCAAGATAATATAGGATCTCAAGAGACATCACCAGGTAAGTTAACAGATTTACTGTTGTTCATTTTCATTACCTGATCAGTATTTAGTGTTGTCATGCTGCAGCTATCTGATATTGTAGGCATACCATAACTGCAAATGTTAAAAGGCATGATGATTCTGTATCGTTAGCTAAAAGCTGTTCAATTCTGAATTGTATGCCGCTATACCAGGATCAAAAAATTCTGAAATAGTTATTAATGCTGTGCTATACCGCGGATTGAATGATGGCGTTACAACACGTCAATATTCATAACATACCCAAGTGGGCTAATAACGTAATATGACGTGAAATATCCGCTATAATTTAATGTTCCCACTTCACATTAATATGATTAATTCAAATTGTAACGATTTAATGTGCTTTTCATGACGCATGCGTAAGCACATCACTTCCGGACCCAGCAGACAACATCCTTCATGTAGTTGGCTAGTTCGGAAACACAGTATAAATATGTCGGCGTGGTCTGAGGAGATGGAGGGTGCAAGTAATGTTATCGACGAATTGCATCCTCCACAAAGAAAAAGAATCCTTTCAGCCGTGTGGACACATTTTGGATTCAAAAAAGAAGACGGAGTTATTCTTAAGAGCGACTCGCCAATTTGTAGAGCATGCGGTAAAGCCGTACCTGCTAAATCAGGCAACACAACAAACCTTATGCACCATCTGAGAAAGCACCATCCATCGCGTTACGCCGCCATGCAAAACGTAAGTGAAATAACCCCGGGGGGCACTGGCCAGGAAGTTTTCAGTTTAAGAGGCAAACTTTTTTTTCTTTTTAAAAAGAAATATGGATAATTCGCTAAACAGCGCTAAACCTCGCCGACATTACCTCAGCTGTTTTTTATTCTCAAGGAAAACTGATCTATCGCCGGGCCGGATTTAATAATGATTAGAAAGAACATGTCGTAAGTCTGAATACGCAACTTAAATGCATAGATTGTTTTTGTATGCAATTTGTGTTGAAGCTGTTTTAGGGAATATAAAGAAAATGTTGTATTATATTATTAAAATATGTTATAGTATCACTGCAATGCTTGTACTTAGACAAAAAAAAAACACATCGCTGCCGGCTAGAACAGTCTCGTGTAATTCACAAATAAAATGCTATGTCTCGTTCTGAACCAATACACGACGCATATTGTCCGGTATCTTTTTTTTATCTGGACCGAAATACAGTGTTATCCGGATACCGCGATCGTCCGGGTCCTGGTTCGAAATTCATACACTCATTAAGATCAATCATTATCGGGAAATGTACTTAAAACGTGTGCTAAATCAGTGCATAAGACAATATTCACACGACCTATGTCACTGGCGGTTACCGTACAAGTTAAATAAGACGGTGTAGTTAATGCGACAAAACAAATTGGGATTGAGCCATGACACATTGCGAAATGTTCATACTATTGCAGCGCTACTGTCTGTATTGACTGTAATTTCTATTCACAGAGATTTTTGTGCTGTATACATTTGACTTTAAATTTACAAATTAACAAATACATATATTCTTTTTCAGAAGAAGAATTCTGACCCTGTGGTGAAGTCAGAACCCAGAGATGACCCAGTCACTCCTAACCAGACTGTTATTGATACTGCACCCACTGATCCTGAAGCCAGCTCTAAATGGGTCGTGGTTCCGATACCAACAGATAGTCGTCAAGTTGCTCTGACAGACCGCATTGTGACATACATTGTGAATGGACTCCTTCCCCTCTCTACTGTAGAAAATAAGGATTTCATCGCAATTTTGCAGTTGGCTGAACCATTCTTCACAATGCCTTCTCGGAGAGACCTCACCCAGAACCTCATTCCTCAGCGCACTACTGCTGTTAAAAATCATTTAATTACTCAGATGCAGAATGCTTCTGATATTTGTCTGACAGTGGATTTATGGTCAAACCGATCCATGAGGTCGTTTTTTACCATGTCTGGTCATTTCATTTTAAATTTTGAATTGCAGAATGTAATGTTGAGTTGCCAGCGATTCAAAGGAAGGCATTCAGCAGATAACATCTGTGGCGTGTATGAGGATATTTTGTCAACTTATGGAATTAGGAACAAAGTATCATTCATTGTGACCGATAGTACATCAAACATGATAAAGGCATTCAACCTTTTCCCACCTATAACTGGTGTTCATGATGAAGAGGTGGAACAGGATGACACATCTGATCTTCATGTGGTGAACATTGAGGAAGAGATGATGTACTTCCCTCCAGAAAGAAGTCCATGTTTTGTCCAAACATTACATCTTGTGGTGCGTGATGCCCTGGATCAAGTTGGCTCTGTAAAATGCTTGCTAGACAAAATCCAAAAACTAGTTTCTTTCTGCTATAAATCTGCACAGGCTACTGCAAATCTAGATCACAAACTTCATTGTGGAAATGCCACCCGCTGGAATAGCCAGTTGAAGATGCTGAAGTCAGTCCTTAACATTCCCAGTGATGTCCTTGGTCAGCTAGAGTGCCCTGTTCAGCTGTCACCCACTGAATTTAAAATCATACAGGAACTATGTGTGGTGCTGGAGCCCTTTGAGGAGGTGACAGACAGGTGTCAGGCAGAGAAAGTGGTAACCTCCAGCTTGGTGATTCCATGTGTTCGAGCCTTAAGGCATGCAGTCAAAAACATGAATATGACTGGCAATAAAAACCTGGTGTCCATTCTTCAGAAAGCGGTTGATAAGCATCTTGCAAAATTTGAAGAAATGCAATGCTTTCAGATGGCTTCCACTCTTGACCCAAGATTCAAACTGGACTGGTGTATTGGTGAAGAGGTTAACACCATGAAGGATCTTCTCATGGGAAAAGTTGAGTGTCTTTCACCAAAACTCAGTGCTGGATATAATGACTGTAGTGACCAACCAAAGAAACGTCCCAAACTTTTTTCCTACATGGAGAGTCAATGTAGTTCCTCAGCTGTTGCCAGAACTTCACATGATGTCATCGTGTACCTGAGTCAGCCATGTTTGGCAGAGGATGTTGACCCTTTGGCCTACTGGAAAGGAAACCAAACCAGCTTTCCTGAGCTGGCACAACTTGCCTGCAAATACCTTGCTATACCAGCTTCCTCTGCACCTGTTGAGAGAATCTTTAGTTTGGCGGGGAATATTTTCAGCCCAGAACGTTCCAATCTGAATGATAAAACCTTTGACGATCTTTTGTTGATTAAATGTAACAACATCGAGCAATGAATCATGCATTAGAATAAAGCATAATTGCATTTGCTATGATGTTTTGCTTTTTGCTGTGGTAAGGTTGAACTGAAAAACAACTTACTATGCTACACGTGGCAAAAATAGGAGCAATTATGTGAAATTGTTTTGACCATGTATATAATGAATATGGACAAATAAGATCAAGTTTATATATAATTATATCGCACACACAATCTTCCTCTTAGAATTATAGTAAGGTATACTTTTCCTGCGGTCACATGTACAGGCACAGCATCTACATCTTTCGTGTTGAAAGTAAATCTATTATGTAATTCATTCCTGTGTCCTGTGATTGCATTCAGTTTAAGTTGAATTGAAATTCCTGTTTTTAAGTGGCACGATTCATTACTTCTGCATTTTGCACAACCTTGATGTGAAGAGTGCAGTTCTGTGGTTTTCAATTAATTATATCTGGATGCTAAAGACAGGATCGGTATGTGCTATTAATGGTGAGCCTTGTCTGTTTTTCTAGGGCATAATGCATTTTGTTGTGCTGTTAAGGGAGATACAGGCCATTAGTTACATTGGTGCCATAGAGGGTATTCCAGAAAGTGTGTTTAGCATGCAGATATGAATTGGTAGCATAAATCTGAATAGTTTCCATTCCAGAAATGGAGGTTAGACTGAACGTCACTCAGTCACTGTGGCAACTAATGCCCTGAACTAAACTTATTTGAGCGGAGGTTGAGCTGATAGAAACGTGGGTGGTCACTCACAACCACTACGATCAGTGAAATAAAGACAACTTTGCTACAGTTTTAATCATTGTGTTTATTGGCTACATATTAAAATGTTATTTTTTTTGGTTATTTCACAACAATTAAGAACCATCTTGACAACCACAAAACCCACCCTGAACTGCTATTCAAGCAGTTCAGTTTATAAACTAGACATTCTTATTAAATGATTAATGTGCTCCGTCTGGATATGACGCTTGCTCATTTGCTTCTCCAGATGGACCTTGTATATTTCTTTACCAGGCAACTAGGATGAGAACATTTTTTAATCCTGAGTCTCTAGATCTCCTACTTTCACTTGTACATGGGACATTAGGAATAAGGAATAATTATAATCACATAGGACTATTGACATGTGAGAGACCCATGCAAAGTGACTTTATTAAAATTTGCAAACCAGGGAAGAAACCTCTGTAAATTTTATTGTATGGAGCAACACTCGTTTATTGAAAAGTGGTACTTTCAATCATTCAGGCAAAAAGGGCAGGTGCTCATTGCTTGAATACTGAGCTCCAGGGTGTTACGCCCCCACCGTTCTGAAAGATGATTCACCTCCTGTCTGTATATAGACTGGTTGCCGTTTGAGATTTCAGGACTCACAAGTTTATTTGTCACATGCACAGTTATACAGGTACAATGTGCAGTGAAATGAAAAGCTAGCTTGCTACAAGATTGTGCTAAACAAAGCAAAATAATACAGATAAAAATAATAAATTAGTGGGAGAGACTACGGAATTAAATATAATATAAAGTGACTATGCAGTGAGTTACAGTGACTGCAGGAGTTTTAGGTTCGGATAGCTGTTGGCATGTCAGAGTTCCAGATCCTGATGGCCTGGGGGTAGAAGCTCCTCTTGAGCCTTTCACTGTTTTCCCTTAGGGTGTGCAGTCGCTTGCCTGAGTTGAAAAGGCTGAAGGATCCCAAATTATTGTAATTGCCCTGGTCCTGCAGTGCTTGGTGTAGATATCCTGCAGAGAGGGCAGTGCTGACCTTAAGATGTGCTCTGCTGCACACCACTATCTGCAGGGCTTTGTGATCTTGAACTGAGCAATTCCTGAACCATAATACGGAGCTCTGTGCCAGGATGCTCTCTATAATGCCGGTGTAAAAAGTATTCAAAATAGATGGGGAGACCTTAAATTTCTTCAGCAACTAAGGTGATAAAGGCACTGTATGCTGGGTCCATGTCAGGTCCTGTGATGTGTGCACCCAGGTACCTGAGGCTACTCACTCTCTCAACAGGATCTGCTTCTGCATAAAATCCACCACTAGCTTCTTGGTCTTGCTTACATTCAGTGAGAGATTATGAGCCTGGCCTATTAGAGCCTTGTGGCCTATTAGAGTGGTGTCATCCGTATTCTCGAGGAATTTACATAGGGGTGGGCAATCTGACCATTTTATGTCATGGTTGATTGATTTTACATCATGATTGATGAAGTTCATTTTGAAAACAGTGCCTTTAGTTCGATTCAATTCAGTTCAGTTTTATTTGTATAGCGCATTTTCACAACATTACATTGTGTCAAAGCACTTTACATTATTCCTGCCCAAAGCCACCAGTGAGCAAGCCAGAGGTGACAGTGGCAAGGAAAATCTCCCTGGAAGGAAGAAACCTTGGGAGGAACTAGCGCTGGGCGATATGGCCTAAAATCTATATTGCGGTATAATTTGAAGCATGTGCGGTAACGATATATATTGTGATATATTCTTTTCTTCTGTATATATATACACACACACACACACACACATATATACACTCACCTAAAGAATTATTAGGAACACCTGTTCAATTTCTCATTAATGCAATTATCTAATCAACCAATCACATGGCAGTTGCTTCAATGCATTTAGG